TATATATATATATATATATATATATATATATATATATATATATATATATATATATATATATATATATATATATATATATATATATATATATATATATATATATATATATATATAAAATGTTCATGTATTATATTATATTAAAATATTACAAAAGAACATAAAACAGTGCTTAATAGGACTTTTAAATTTGTCCTTCCTGGAAATTGGATTGGAAAAAAGTAACCAGTGACATTCCTCAAGGCGCAGTTCTTGGTCCTAAGCTTTTTACTGCTTTTATTAATGACTTACAAAACCAAATTAGTAGCAAAGACATTTTCAAAACGTATGCAGACAACACTGAAACACTTAATGTTGTCAACACTGCAGAACAAAAACTTTGTTTGCAATGTCTACAAGCTGACATATACTTTTGTTAATAGGGTCTAAAAATGGCTTATTAGTATAATAATATAAAAATTAATATAAAAAATGGTTAATGCAATTTCACTAAATCCATTCCACATCTTAACTTTTTTTACAACAATGAATCAAATGGCAATTTCAACAGAATTCATCTCATAAATACAGCATCAAACAAAACTCTAAAAGAATCAAAATCATTAGAGTGACCTTAGAATTCAATTTGCAATGATCCAAAACACCATGGTCAAACATCTATTGCCTTTGCTACTGCTAAAAAAATGATATCCTAAAGCACAGCTTTATAAACAGAAATTCAAAACTCTGGAAAAAGCTATATACAGTTTATACATATACACTTCTAGCTTGGTGTTCTTATTTAGAAATAGATATTTCTGCAATTGAAAGCATTTAACAATGTGTAACAAAAGTATGGCAAGAAATGTCTATTGATTATAAACTGAGATGTTTTAGATTAGGTCTCACTTCTCTATGTGAAAGAAGAAACAGATGGGAACTTATTCAAAAATTTAAATTAGGGGATAAAATCGATTTAATCAATTAGTATATTAATTCAATTAAAAATTCCCCCAGCTATAGGCATCTAATATCTTAGAGAAATCAATTAATTGCCTAGTCAGATATAACTTTTCTAACAACAGTGTGGTTAACACACAGAATTCCTTGCCAGACAATGTTGTCAATGCCAATTAAGTTAAAGTAAATTTAGACTCGCATCTAAAATAGCTACTAAAACACATCACTTTCAGTGGCTACTTCAATGCTGCATAAACTAGTTTTGCTAGTTAATAATGGAAAAACTCTTCTGGATATTTACACTTTTGAATTTTTATTGAACGATTGAACATCTACAGTAATTTTTTCAAGAACCAACACTCCCCTGTCTACCTGACTAGACAACTCTTTAGGTTACTTGTATGCAATTATAGAGTTACAGAAACAAACAGTATAACAATACACATACAGATAGAGCAGTATAAAAACAGTGGTACAGATGATATATATATATGGTATAGATGTAACAACAACAATACAAAAATGTGGTAGTATACAATAAAAAAACCATTCAAATAAATATGAAATAACACAATTAAATACCAAATATTTTTAACTTATTCAATATTAAACTTTAATAATAAAAATGTTTAAAAGCTCAAGATTAATTAACAATTAAACAATTAAAAAATACCTTGATATAACCCTGTAAAAGTCTTCAATTTGTTCTGGTGTAGCATTTACAGCACCTGCTGCATTATGCGAAGGAAGAACAGATAAAGCATTTTTAAACCACAATGTAGTAGGCTACATATAAAATACACAATACACAGATGCAGCAGTATAATATATAAATATATATATATATATATATATATATATATATATATATATATATATATATATATATATATATATATATATATATATATATATATATATATAAATATATATATATATACTACTTATCTTTATAACATACAGCATTTTCAGAAAAAGAAAAAAAAAGAAGAATAAAAAAAGAAAAAATTGCTGCATAAGTACAAAATAAATTTTTAAATATTTTTAAATGTAACTGTCAAAAAACTTTGAAAAAAACCAGATGATCCCTAATGATAAAAATTTAAAAATTTTATCATTTATATTTTAAAATTTTTTATCATTTTCATTAAAAACACCCTTAGTTGTGTTTAAAAAAGAAAAAATGTATTTGCATATTAAGGTTACCCTTTGGCAAAACTGTAGCATTTCCCATAAAACATCAGCAGCTTCGGGTAACATATAAGACTGAACACCTCCAGCACAAGCATTTATCAAACCTAAATTCCAAATAAATAACACATTAGGAAGAGAAAACAAAAATTGTAAATTAATACTTTTATAATCATAAAGAACAAACAACAACCTTTAACAATTTCTTGGCCGTATTTTCCTAAAAGACTTTCAACAGCAGAGACTCTTTCTTGGACTTCATCAAAAAGTGGATTACTCTTAAAAGTAAATTTGATATATATATATATATATATATATATATATATATATATATATATATATATATATATATATATATATATAAATACATATATATATATATATGTATTTATATATTTGGGTGTGTTGATTTTTATTTTTTTCCTAATTTCAAAAACGGCAAGGTTACTTTTGGTGAAGAATTTTATGGAGATTCTGAATCTGCAAAAAAAAGAAAGAAAAAGAAAGTTTTGCTGGATGGGTCAGCATTGTTTTGAACAGAAAAATGACTAAAATGTGACTAATTTCTTGATTAACTCAATAATTATGTTGAATTTTAAGAAAATTGATTATTTGGTTCAAAAAGTCAGAAAAATAAAAAGAAAAGGATTTTTCATGAAGGGTATTTTTACAAAAATCAGGCACTTTTTTCATATTTTAGACAAAGAATGTTATGGTAAAGTGTTCTGTTTTTTTCCTGTTTTTATCAAGCTTAAAAAGTAAGGGGGGTTCATATTTGTGGGGAATTTTATAGGGAATCTGAATCTGAAAAAATAAATAAAAATAAAACATGTCTTGTTGGGGGAAATGCTTAGTTTTCAACAAAAAAATGACTAAAATATGAATAATTAAAGAGAAAAAATTATAAATCTATAAAATTATAAATTCTAAAAGCAACCTTCATAAAAGCTCCCATTATGTGTTTATTTTTTTGACTTTTCAACAAAATATGATAGTTTCATAAAGTTCAACATAGTTTATATTGAGTTTATCAAATAATTAAAAATTTTTTTTTTTTTTTTTGATTTATAATTTTTTCTCTAATTATTAATATTTTAGTCATTTTTTTGTTGAAAACTAAGCATTCCCCCCAACAAGACATGTTTTATTTTTATTTATTTTTTCAGATTCAGATTCCCTATAAAATTCCCCACAAAGCTTGATAAAAACAGGAAAAAAACAGAACACTTTACCATAACATTCTTTGTCTAAAATATGAAAAAAGTACCTGATTTTTGTAAAAATACCCTTCATGAAAAATCCTTTTCTTTTTATTTTTCTGACTTTTTGAACCAAATAATCAATTTTCTTAAAATTTAACAAAATTATTGAGTTAATCAAGAAATTAGTCACATTTAAGTCATTTTTCTATTCAAAACAACGTTGACCCATCCAAGACCCAAGCAAGACTTTCTTTTTCTTTCTTTTTTTTGCAGATTCAAAATCTCCATAAAATTCTTCACCAAAAGTAACCTTGCCATTTTTGAAAAATAAAAAACAACACACCCTAATATATATATATATATATATATATATATATATATATATATATATATATATATATATATATATATATATATATATATATATATATATATAATATATATATATATATATATATATATAAGGCTTGGTCAGGAAGCGGGAGCGATCGCTCTCGATTGCTGACCACGTAAATAATATTTAGTTGCGAAAAGCTGGCCAAATTTTTTAGCCGTTTTGAGAACTTTTATAAAGCAAAAAAAAAAAAAAAAGCGACAAAAAAAAAAAATAATAATAATAATTGGACCGATAAGAGACAATTACAAAAAAAAAAAATATCTTTAAACGCGAAAAAACTTAAAGCTAAATAAATTACATTTAGAACAAATATTTTCGAAACATCGCTCTTTTACAATTTTTTTTATAAAATTAAGCGATGTTTTTTATATAAAGTAACAACTTACGATTGTTTAAACAAACGAAACAAATACTCTTTATTTAACTAAGTTTGCAAGTTTTAGTTTTACTTAAGCTAAATTATTTTATAAATAAAAAAGTTTATTTTTTTAATACCTATTTTATGTTTCGCGTAGTTTGAAAAGTTTCGCGTAGTTTAAAAAGTTTAAAACATATTTGATGCGATTCTTCTTAGTAATATAAACAAATAAAATAATTAAATCATTGAATTACTATAGGAATTAAATTATCAAGATAGAAATCAACTAAAAAGGTTAAAAATACTTAATGACCAGGAAGCGAAACTGCTCTTACAATATCGCTGATGATGTTTAGTGAGTGGGCTTTTTAATTTTTAATTAGTATTTAAAGCAGAAGGAAGTATAACGAGTTTTAACAATGGCAACTTAAGCGAAAATAATTAGAGTTAGTAAACCAATATCTAAAAACTTTTTTTTATATCTAATTATTTGCTATATATATTTGTGTTCTGTCATGACCTCAGGCGCGATGCTAGTTCATCCGCGAGTTACTTTGTATGCGTTTATTTGTGTTTAGTAACCAGAAACTTCTTATATGTTTGTTACATAATTAGTTTTATTAACTTTAACGCTTATAACTTCACTGAAAATGCAATTATTTTTGTAAGTCTTTGTTTAAATCATAAAAATTGCTTTAAAAGATACATTACGATAAAAAACAAATACACAAAATTACATTTACATAGAGAATACAATCTCTTTTAAAATAAAAAATAAGAATATACTAATAAAATCTATGATTTAAAATAAACTTTTAAAATTTTAACAATTTAATTAATATATATTTAAAACATTTATTTTCGTAAACAAATAATATATATTCTTAAAACAATGCTAGAATTCTCAAAACGTAACAAATCGTGAATAATACAATTTCTAAAACATTTTAACAGAATACTCTAGAACTTTATTTTGCTTAATCAGCGTATTTTTTGAACCAATAGAATCAGTTTGTTCGTTAATTTGGCGGGTTTTTAGTGATTGCAAATATTCTTTTTATTCTTCCGCACCAAGATGTTTTGAGAACATTCAAGTTTTTTATGTTTCCATGTATGTCCGTAAAACAAAAATTTTTGTTTCGTAAATAAACTTAAATGTTCTCAAAACGACTAAAAAACCTGGCCAGTTTTACGCAACTAAATATAATTTCCGTGGTCAGTATTCGAGAGCGATTGCTCCCTTTTCCTGACCAAGCCTGATATATATATATATATATATATATATATATATATATATATATATATATATATATATATATAATATATATATATATATATATATAATAAATGAATAATAAATTGAATAATATAAAAAAATCAATATAAAGTGATAAATAAAAATAATATATTATTAATAAGATAAATTAATTTCTTTTTTTCTTCTTATGTTATTTTAAATAAAAAAAATGTTATATTATAGCACTTAGGAACCCCTTTAACATTGTGCCCTATTTATTCAGCATTCTTTTTTTGATGCCTCCTGTAAACTATAATAATTAAAGAAACATTTTATATACAATTTACTTCACATTTTTGAATTTAACTCAAATTTTTATAACAAATATTGATTTGTCAGATAAACCAAGTTAATTTCACAAAAAATAAAAAATAAAAATTTAATCCAAGATCATGATAGAATTGGAAGAAGTAAAAAATGTTTGAAAAAATAGTACGAAAGGAATAAAAATAAGTTTAAAACATTTTCTAAATGAAAAAAGTAAAAAAAAAAACAAGTATAAAGGAATCAATTTGAATCATAAATATGATTTACAGAAAATAACAATTAAAGAAAAGATTTTTGAAATGTAACAAAGAAAATTTTTTTTGAAAATAACTAAGTAAAAAAACACACTTGTTCAACTTGAGTGCACTTGAGAAGCTCTACAAAAAATTTCATTACAGATTGATTTCCATCTCGGTGGTCAAGCATGGTACCTGCAATGGCTAACTGCACAGTTGAGTCTATTGAATCATTTTTTAAAAAACCCAATGTACATTTTTGTAAAAACCTACCAAAAAAATTTAATATAAAATAAATACAATAAATTAAAATAACAAAAATAAAATGCAATAAATATTATTAGTTTAACTTCATTAAAATAAAGGTAATAGTTCTTATAAAAATTGGTTAAGCTTCTCAAATGGTCCTCAATCCTCTTAACTTCATCCTAAAAGAACCTATCTGGTGCTCTAAATGTTGCAAAGATTAAACGTTTAAATTTGGTTATATTTCCTCCAGATTTAGCAATTATATTGTTAACCGTTGTAATGTTGCTTCTCTTTCTCTTTTCTACAAATACTATAACGGGCACTGCTCGAAAGAGCTAGCGTCTCTTGTGCCATCTACTAAAATTCATTCTCGTGTTACTTGTCATTCAATTAAGTATCATCCTTTTTCTGTTACTGTTCCTAAGTGCTCCAAAAACTCTTATTCGTCTAGTTTTTTTCCTCGAACATCAGTTCTTTGGAATTCGCTTCTTTCAATGCTTTCTTCTTTCATATCTTGCTTTCCTGATTCATATAATTTGCAATCTTTTAAGTCGTCTGTCAATCGTTATCTTGCTCTACAATCTTCATCTTTTCTCTTCCAGTAACTTCCAACACTAATTAGTGGTTGCTTGCAGCCTTGTTGGAAGTGAAGACAAAAAAAAACAAAAAAAAACAACATAAAAACATATTTTTTAATCAAATTTCAAAATATTTCTATATTTCTATATTTCTAGGCAGCTTGTTATGACAGTTAATCTTTCAGAATTTTCAGAATATCTGCAAAGTTACATCAAACCAGAGAAAATAAAAAAAAATTGCTTAAATTTTAAAAAAGGGTGACCAAAAAAAAAAAAGAAATATCATGCATTTTTATTTGTTATGTAGAATTATTTAATTTTACTAGGAGCAAATTTTTGTTTTCACTGAGAGAGTTTGGAAGTTGGAGCCCACTGAAAGCAAACACTTTTTTTCACTGTTTGGAAGTTGGAGCCAAACTCCATAGATGACACTTAAATATACACAAAAAAATAAATTTAGCTGAAGATGGTCTTATAATTATATATGATAACTAAATTTTGATAAAAATTTATGTTAAATACTTATATAAAATCTATAATTAATATTATATTTTATAAAATCTTTAATTCATATATTCATACAAATATTCATATCAACTTGTTTCTCCGCGTAGCAGCCTTATTCACCAAGGTTTGTGTTTTGAAGATAAAGAGTTGAGAAAGTGTTATAACGACAATTAAGTAGCCTTCTCTTCTGTAGTGGCCTTCGGGGAGTTGAATTAACAAAAGTCTAATTAATCAAAAAAATTTTAATAACCTATAAGGCGGTGCAAATAAAAAAGTTGCTAATAAAAATGAGCAGCCATGGAGCAGTGCTTAGAGTGCTTGCTAAAATCTCTTTTAAATTTCTATTATTTCAATTCTATTTTTTCTAGTAACTCCCACCTTAATAGTGTTGCTTGCAGTAACTCCCACCTTAATAGTGGTGCTTGCAGCCATGTTGGAAGTGGATCAGAATAAAAAAAAATTAAAAAAGATCTATAGATGTTCTGAAGCACTTTAACAGGGTTCTGCACAGCAGATGTGACTCTATAGTAACTTATATCTTTCATGACCTCAAAACTGTCTATACAAATATATTTTTCTCACATTTTGCTTTTCCAAAATGATGAAAAAAAAAACGAAAACTACAACTAACAAGAGAAAAAATATTTACTAGTTTTTTAAATAACTTTTGATACAAAACATTCATTAAAGAAATAATAAAATTTATATCTCGTATATTTGTCTTTAGGTACTCAATTGGAATTTAAACAATTGTGTATGAACATGACTTAAAATAGTAAAAATAAATAAAGTTTAACTTCCATGATACATTAAAGATCATACCTAATGCAAAGTCTAAAGAAATCATCAACAGTGTCAGGATGAAGAACCAAACCTTTTTCTTGAGATAAAATTGTAAACGTTGGACCAACAAAGCTCTTAAAAACATAAAAAAGTAAACAAACAAAACAACAAAAACAGTTTATTTTATAATTATTTGTTGATATTAAATAAAAAAATTTATGAAAAAATACAACTTATTTATTTTAATACTTATTTCTTAGAAAATCATACTATAAAATCATACTGGAACTAGACGCAATAAAGAGTATCAATAATATCATGTGATCAATGATATCATATGACCAATGATATCATGTGATCAGTGATATCATGATCAGTGATATGTGATCAGTGTTATAATGTGATCAGTGATATCATGTGATCAGTGATACCATGTGATCAGTGATAATAGCTATAACAATGTTACAAAAAATTTGTACTAAAAAATATTAATTTTTTTTTACTCAGAGTTTCAAATTTATAACTACTTTTTTATTCACTATATATATTAACTAATATAATAATTTATGCTAAAATGAAAAAACAAAATTCAAATCAAAAGTAATTTGATAAAAAAAAAAAATATTTATAAATTTTCTTTTGTTTATAAATAAATTATGTGAACAAATATATATTAACTTGTAATTTTAAAAGCAAAAAGTAAATTAGATGAAAAATTCAAAAAGAAATACGGAGTCAAGATTTTCTTTTCAAAATTGAATTTGCTAGTTCCACTAAAAAGTTATGAGGAAAAACCTATGCATAAATGACAAATAACTAGATAAATGTTTTTGGGGGAAGAGCAAACATGCTCACGCTATTAATTTATAACTACTAATTAATTAAAACAGAAATAAATATGAGTTGCCTTTTTTTACCAAAGGCAACTCTTCACAAGCATGCGCACAACAAAGTCCAATCACATGTTAGAAGTACAACTACCAGGCTAAGTATAGCATTTGAATTTGTTTTTGTTTCACTACTTATCAGTTTAACTGATTAGAGATTTGACAGAACGTTCGCAGATGTCATTGCAATAGTTAGGAGTTGTTTAGTATTTAAAAGACAAATTTATCTGTTTTCACCCAACCGTATGTCAGGACGAGAATGGTATTAAGGTTTTTAAACAATGATGTCATAAAATAATCATCACAGTAGCAGGCTTTTGTCTCTCGATCACTGTATTTAGAAAATCCAAGTTGGGTTGGATAGAAGAGAAAAAATTTATTCAATGGCTAACTAAAGTATTTATACTGGCAATCAAATTAATTTCAGTTAATTAGTTTAACTGATGGTTTGGTTTACTTAAACTGAGTAGTTTAATCAATATACCAATTAATTAGATAATTATTTTAACTACAGGTATTCACATTTTAGTCTTAGGCACATCTTAGATGTTACTTACATTGTTGCTCATATTTGCATAGACAATAACATCAGGCTGATATATTTAACATCTCATTCAGCCTGTTTCATCATCCTCATCCCAGCTTTAATAATCATCTAACATCAGACAGCATTAAACTCAAACAATTTGCCAACTTCAAAATTTAACAACACCATTGACTCCTGCTCAAACATATCAAATGTTGCAATACTTCACAGAAAAACTTAAAGGCAATTTGAAAAATGTTTTAAAGTGCCACCATGTTGACACAAAAAAACCCAGAAAAAGTCAACATTTCTAAAGTTAAAGGCTAAGTAATCTGAGATGCTTTAGAAACTAAAGGAAGATAATGAAGATGATAAAGGAAGATGATGAAGCCAAAAAGTCAAAGCGATTAAAGAAACACAAGATTGACATCAGTGAAGCATCAGATAATAACTCATCAAGTGCAATATTCAAAAAAAAAAAAAACATGACAAGACAAAAACACCATGAGATGCAAAAAGTGACACTGAGTTTAGGAAGAAACATTGCTAACTCAAAACAAAATGTGGTATTAATGAGAAGCTTTTAGTTGCAAGTCTTTTGTTGATTGTGTTTACCCAAAAAATACAAAGTCGGTGAAGATTTCTTTTTAAATAAAAGAAAACAACTACTTTTATATCTAATTTTTAATATTTTCTTATAAATCAAATATATTCTAAATATATTGAGTTTGAAGCTAAACAGTTAACTCTTACCCCAATTTACTTTTTAGTTTTACAGTTTTACTTACTTACCCCAGTTTACTTACCTCTTACCCCAGTTTACTTTAACAAGTTATATTATTATATATAGTATGAATTCATATGAATATAATTATTTATAATTCTGAATAAATTATTTTTTTAACAGTTTTTATATTACTGATTTCAAATTAATTAAAATTTATATATGTAAATGACTGCTAAAAACAGGGACCATGGATGCATCTGAATTTACTAGTACAATAATATTAGGCAACCAGTAAAATAGATTTATAGTAAGATAAACTGTAGTTAACAAAAATCTCAAAACAAATTGTTTAAAAAATTTTAAAATAAAACAAATGCCAACCCATTAAAAATTTTTTTTACATATAATAAAAAATGTTGTGTGTCATTAATATACTTTTGTAAAACTTATGTAGTCAACCACTTAACTTAACATTTTTTGTCAAGCAATATTTGAGCATATTATTACTATTAAGTTAAGAATTTATAAGTTAAGTTATTAGTTATTAAAAATAATTTCAAAAAAAAATTTTTTTCCAAAAAAAACTTTTAATACTTTAATGCTAAATAATTGTTTAAAACCAAAGCAGAATAAAGGAAAGTTACATCATTACATTACATCATTACAGAATAAAGAAAAGCTCATTACTTTAAATTTATTAAACTTCTAACAATAAAGTTTCTTTAAACTAATTTTATTTAATCATATTTTAATTTGATTTTTGAATTCACATAGATCTTTAACAAAGTTATTTTTATGTTTTTATTATAAATACCTTAAAAAGTTGTAAAAGATGTTTTTGAACAGTCAAATCACCACCATATTCATCAACTAAAATGCTACCAATGTAAAGAAGACAAGAATGCTGATACTCTGCATATAAATTATTTATCTAAAATAAATTTTAATAATTAAGTATAACAAATTATAATAATGAAGAATAATAAGAAACTTAAATATAAAAGTACAAACAATTATAATAATTAGGTATAACAACAAAAGTTTTTAAAGACTTTATGAGAGATATAAAAAACTCTATTAATGCAAATAATTAAACAAACATACAAGAAAGATAAAAGGGTCCAAAAAATGCATGAAGTCAGGTCCAATACAGCGAATGCCGAATCTTAAACACCTAAAAAAAATTTTTTTTAGTAAAATCTTTTTTTTTTAAATTTTACTTTTCATCTATAAAGATTACACATACCTAAAATGTCTTTCCATAACCTTTTCATCTCCTTTAAATTTTTCAACAATCATTTTAAATAAATCCCAAAGCTAAAATAGCATATATTTCATGTTTATACTGACACATTGTTATTCAGTGTAAAAAACCACAAATATATAACGCATGAATGTTTTTGTATTGATTAAAACTCACTGTATGTCAATAAAATTTTTGTTGCCACTAATACGTTAATTAAATCAAATGTTGTTATCATCTATATGCAAGTCAATAGCTGTTGTCATCTAATGTCAGGTATATGCAGGAGGACAATTTAAGTGACCATGAATTACAATATCTGGAATTGCTTCTGGTCTTTAAATTTTCTGTAAACTCTTTACTTTATCTTTAAAATTTTTATTTTATATTTAATACAAGAAAAATAAGGCACACAGTACACTGCACACAGTACTATGTAATATTAAAAATTAATTTAGCGGTGATCAAATATTTTAAATAAAAGAAAACAACTAATTTTATATCTAATTTTGAATATTTTCTTATAAAGCAAATATATTCTTCAAATAAGTACTCTTAACTCTCTAGCTGAATAAGGTGTTTAAAAACATAAACAATCTAATTTAATTCACTAATAGTTATTTTAAAATAAATTTAAAACTTTAATAACATATGTATCTTATTATTATTATTTTTACTTATTGTAAACTTATTGCTTTGTTTTTTCATTAAATTTCTCAGTGAGATAAAATCGACCCTTTCATTAAATCGACCCTTTCATTAAATCGACCCTTTCATTAAACCGACCCTTTCATTAAATTGACCCTTTTATTAAATCGACCTTTTCATTAATAAAATGTTCACTGCTTTTAATGAGAAAACTAAAAACTTGAAGACCAAAAAAATTTCCAGATCATAGAGTTTGCGATCACTTAGTTTGCCCCTTGTATGTCAATTAAATTTATTGTTACTTTAACAAATAGAACAAATAAATAAGTCAGTTTATTTTATTTTTCAATAATATATTTTGATATTATTATAAGTCCATTACACAAAACATATAGTAGGGCATTATAATTTATATAACTTGCAGGTTTTTTTTTTTTTTTTTTATGGAACTGGGCAGGATTGAAAAGTATTGTTTTTCAAAAAGAATGACTTTAGTTAACTAAATTAGAAATAAAAAAAAAAATAAAATAAAAAAAAACGTTTGGAAGGGAACAAAAACACCTATTATACTTAAATAAAAAAAACCTATAAATATCTATTTAACTTTGAGAAAAGAGATTGTTGATAGATTTCTAATTTTTTTAGTTATAGGCATTTAATACATGTGTCACAGAAGGAATCTATCATTCTTTTTGTGACACAAGTTTCAATGACTATAACAAAAAATTTAATATTCCACATGAAATATCTTTATCTGAAAGTAAATAGGTCTTTAAAAGGCAGCATTTTAAGTATTACTACGCCCTTCTAAACGTTTTTTTTTATTTTGAATTTCTAATAGAGTTTATAAAGGTCATTCTTTTTGAAAAAAAAAAACTTTTCAACCCTGCCAAATTAAAGATTTATGAAACCATAAAAATTGAAACAAAACTGTTCTAACCCATCTGACTTTTTAACTAACCTGTTCTATAACTTTTTTACAAGGATGAGGTTGACCAGCCATAACACTCACATGAGTATTTCTAAAAAGAACCACTTAATTAGGTTTAAAATGAGTCAAAGAAATATTGGACTACTTTTGCAATTTTAATTGCACTTAAGGAATCATTTACTAATCATTTATTAATTTTTAAGCATTTAGTGTTTATTAGTGCACGTGGAAGGTTGTTTGTGCCATGTTTGGAAGGTAAAAGAACATTTTCATATATTTTTCATATACCGCTATTTACTAATACTAATATTAATTTTTTATCTAAATTTATATTTATCAATGAATTTTAAATTTCATGCAATAGTCTCTTAGTGTTTAGTTTTTTTGGCCTGGGATAGTTTACAGCCCCCTCAAATTGAGGAGGGCTAAAACTTTATATGTTTATAATTTTCAAAAAATAGATTATTGCATGAAATTTGAAGTTTGTTGATGAATATAAATTTAGATTATAACATATATCAAATATATATATATATATATATATATATATATATATATATATATATATATATATATATATATATATATATATATTTATTTATTTGTGTATATATATATATATATATATATATATATATATATATATATATATATATACACATATACACATATACACACACACACATATATATATATATATATATATATATATATATATATATATATATATATATATATATATATATATATATATATAATGAGATTATTAATAAAAACAACAGAAAAGTTTACCTAAAAACGCTTGCAAGTCTATCTAAGTACTTTATGGGATCAGCACTTGATTTGTTATTTACAATCTACAAAGAACATTATAACTAAAGTTGAAAAATCCAAAAAATTTAAATCAAAACAAGGAACTTTAAAATGTAAAGTTCAACATAAATTGAAAACACAAAAACCTCATATAAAGGTTGAACATGTGGAGTACATAGTTTCATTAAACCATTGGTAATATCATCAACTGCAAGAGCTGATAACACCATTGCACAACCTTAAAATAAACATTACTTAAAAAGGTGCAATCAGTTTTCAAGACAAACTATAATAGAAGTTTATATTTAAAGTAATATAAGCATTTAAAGTAAAAAATTCTTACCTCCTAAGATATTTATTATTCCTTCGTTATCAACCGATAATAAATCCACTGCTTCAGAAACCTTTAAGCAATATAAAAAGTTAATCAATAAAGTTGTATTAACAGAGCATTAACTACATATAATAAAAGCAGTATGAGATAATAAAAATAATAACATAACAAATAAAACTTAAAGTTAGATTTAATTTAGCATTAAGATTAATGATAAGAAGATTTGACAAGATTAATAGAACATTTATTTAATACAAAAAATAAAATAAACTACAACACAATTTTCATTTAAAATACCCAAATGACCCACAATTTAGCTTAACACAGCTTTATTTAACAATGTAAATAAAGCTGTGTTAAATTCATGTTTATTAGCGTTAAGCATTTTTGTTATGCAATAAAATTTCATATTATGGCTTGAAAGGAATTAAAATACTAAAGGTTGAGCGACTATGTAACACAGGACTGCAAAGGCTGCCTAATTTTCCTTTTTTTAAATAGTTAAATTTATAAAAAAAAGTAACATGTTCAAAAAAAATAAAGTGTTGAGGTCAACTTTTCTTAACTTCCCCCCTTCTCCTTGTCAAAAAAATTCAGACCCCCTCCCCCTATTTTGTTGACGTAATTAATGGACAGCCCCGTACTTGATTATTATAAACATAATAAGAAAGTTGCTTTCATGTTTTAGTAATGCTAATTATCTTAGGCCCAGAAGTTGCAACAACTAGTTCGATTTCATTAAATTTGTTGTCAAGAGATTAAGGTATATGCAACTTATTTTTTTCAATATTTTTACTCATAAATAACAGACATTTACCCTTATTGTCTAACTTAATAATTTTATTTTTTCTCTATATTACTTATTCAATCAGAAAGTGACATGAGCAACTATGAAAGTTGCTGAATGGTTGCCTTGTCCAAATGCTATCTTTTTTTCTGCCAAAACGTGACAGTCCATTATTTGATGTAGGAGGGATATTACCTTTTACAGTGGATCACCTCCCGGTTGAAAATTAGTATATATATATATATATATATATATATATATATATATATATATATATATATATATATATATATATATATATATATATGTATATCCCGGTTGAAAATTAGTATATATATATATATATATATATATATATATATATATATATATATATATATAAAATTATATATATAAAACATATTTGTTAATTTATATTTTGTTTTTTAGTTTTTCAACCAAAAGGATTATAAGGTTATTGTGCCTCAAATGTTGCCAAAAGTATTGAAAAATGTTTTTTTAGAATTTCAATGCACTACAGTTGTTAATGTCAATGTTAATGTCAATGCAATACATTCATAAAAACAGGCAGTAATAAATTTTAGGTAATTCTGTGTACTTAATGCATCTGGTAAAAACTAAAATTATACATTAAAAAGAATTTAACTCATTCGGCAGCCAGTTAAAAATCCTTTTTTACAGACTAAGCAAAAAAATTTTACATTTAATTTTTGAAAAATGACATCAACAATTATTGTCATTTATACCTCTAATAAAACAGGAAACATCACATTCATTTTATGAGAACATCTTTGACATATTTTCGATATAGCATGAGCAGCCATTTGTGAAAGATCTTTGTGTTGCAAACTTGTCAACAAATATTGGAATGAAGCATCTAAATTTAAAACATAAATAAAATTTAGATTCAATTGCCAGCATAGAAGACTAAGAAAGTTTGGTAACTAACAGGTAACTAAGAACTAAACTATGTTAGTTAGAAAAGATTTAGTTCTATTATCATAATCAATAAAAAAACTGATCATAATAAAATTTTTAAATAAAATATGCCTGCGATGCATATTATTGGATCAGTAGACTTAAAATCTAAAATCATACTGAATGCCTATTAAAGCTTATCACAGTTTATAATCCAAATCATAGTTGCAGTTTAATTTTTGTATGCATTTGTTTAATTTAAAAAAATCAAAAATAAATAAACAAGCCAAAAGTGTTTAAGTTAAAATTTTAAACTTAATGAGGCTTTTTATATGGAAATTTAGAATTTTATTAGAAAAATAAATTTTAAAATTGTAAGTCAGAATAAAAATCTTACTGAGAACATGATCATTCAATGCAATCCAATGAGCTAGATCACCTATTAATACTATACAAGTATGTCTCACAGCAATGTGTATGTTTGCAGGAAGATTTAAAATCATATTTATAAGCTGTCCAGGAGTCGGATCATCTCTAAAAATAATCAATACATTGAAAATTTAAAATAATAGCTTAACTATGAATAAAAATTATTCAAATATCGATTTAAATAAATACCTTACAAAAGGAACATCTTACAGAACAAATATCTTAGAAAACGAATAGCTTACAAAAGGAATATCTAACAGAACAAACATCTTACAGAACAAATATCTTGCAGAATTTAGTATAAAAAGTTAAAGACAAAAATTACGGTTTAACAAATCTTGTCATGGGATTCATTACAAACAGTTTTGACTCTAGTTTATTCCAAGGTAGATTTTGATTTTGAAGAGTATTAAATACCTAAATACATAAAAATTTTATTTAAATGAATTACAAAATAAATAGTTAAAGAAAAAGATGTGGAATGTCAATAACTGATTTCTTATTTAACATTTGCCAATATTAGGGTATATCGAAAATCTTTTTTTTTTTTTTGAATTTCAAATTTTAATAGTGGAAAAGTTGCATAATGATATAAATAGTAATTTTTTAAAAGTTTTTTGATGTCTTTAGTTGACACCAGGATTTTTTTAAACAAATGTTTGCAATTTTTTACAAAACAAAAATAACAAATTCTATGCATATACTTCATTTAAAATAAATTAACTTTAAATATGTTGTTGATTTCACTTATTGTCACTCTTATACTAATAAAACAAAACTAATAAAAGTTATATATACCAAACATTCTGTAATATAACCAATCATTGCTATAACCAATGGTTATAGCAATGATTATTAACATTATATTAAAGTATGTAAAATCAAACTTTCGTTGTTTTGTCACCAATTATGTCACTTATTACCATTATCATTAGTATTACCACAACTTCAGGTCAGATCATTTACTTACTAAATAATTTGGGTAAATAGCAGTAAACCATTACGATCAGTATTATTTGTCATACTATTTATAGCAGAGCTTAAAGTTTACTAGTTCTGATTTACATTCGTTGTTTAATAATAAAATAAATTGAAAATAAAGATAATATGAATGGCAAAATTTTCACTGCTGCAGTATTAGCAAGGAGAAAGTCGACTTGTCTATCTGACGCAAAAAATAGAAGATTCGCTGCAGCATGCCGTGTCTTAATTTTTGTTAAAAAAGGTACTAGAGAGAACATGATTTTCTCAGCAATCAGAGATTTGTGCGGACTATGTATATGGATGGTTTCAATATTAAAACTACTTCTAAGCTATGACACAAAGAAACAAAAAAACAAACTTAGATCAATAATTAAACTAATTAGAATAAAAACTTTCATTGACATAGTGTTGTACTATTACAAGTATTAAAGCTGAGGCAGTAAAGCTTCAAGTTTTTATTCTCCATCTTAGCATTCTGTCTCTGATGGCGCTCTTATTTTGAATATTGGCTCAGTGATTCGGATGCTGACTATTTAGACACAGTTGAAGACAGCTAACAAAAACTGAACAGGAAAGATAAAACTGAACTAATGAGATCATAGTTACTACTTTTATCACAAGCCTGTGATAGAGTAGGTGTTTCAAAGGTGCTGCATTTATAGCATTTGCAGCGCTTGAAGATATGAATATCATTATAAATGGAGACCAATCTAAAGTAATTGATAAAAAAGATTTGAAGAGAAAAAAAAACAAATATTAGAAGGCTTGTATGGAAGAAAAAATACAACAATATACTAACAAAGAGAAAATTATTCAAAAAACTACCCAAGAAGAATATATAGTTTTAGTATTGGAACCAGGCTCAACTGGGACATACAGTGATTGCATTACACGGCTGTTTCAGAGTGAGCTTTACGTCTTCTTGTTGTTTTTTTTTGAAAATTTTGACTTAGGAGGTGTTACTAAAACATTTATAACTTTTGAAATATTAGAGATAATTTTGTTTTGTAAAAGGAATAAAAACAACAATAAAATGTTTTATCATACGACATTTAATACAATAGTAAAAAAACTTTTTTTTAATTTATAAAAAGCGCAACAAATGAAAAGCTTGGTAATTTGTAGTTACTTTTTATAAAAAAAAAATCAGAAAAATATATTTCTGATAGTCAATATCAAATATACTCATTGTTTAACTATTAATAAAATAAAAAAAATCTTAATTGTTAAAGGAAAACTGAAACAAGTCTGCAAGCAAACCGTATTTTTTGCAAAATTATGAAAAATCTTGTTAAAGGGGGGATTTGCTGTTAAATGAGCACGTTTTTAAATCTAGAAGTTCTTGTTTTAGAAAATAATTCACTAAGTTTACAAACTCAATGCATTATAAAATAAAACCAGATTTCAAGTTTGAAATATTTATTCTTAACATTTTAAGCTGAAGCCTTTAAAAAACTTAAGCAATTCTTTTCTATGCATACAGTTTTAATAATATGGTGTTAGGTTGTTAATAAATAAAGACTCTAATAAAATAACTCATGACCAAAACTGAGTTAAAGTTTTTGAATTAACCTCGCTTTTGGTAATAGAATTATTTTATGGCACTTGAATCAATCTTTTTACACAAAAAAAAAAAACGTTTCTTTAAATATACAAATAGCTAATTTAAATTGTTTAAAAATGTGTTTTTATTCTCATAAAAAACTTTGATTGATCCATTAATAAGTTGATTCATTAATAAGTTCTTTAAGTCTTTGAACACTCAGTTGATAATAGATTTATGCACCATTCTAAAGAAAAACCCACCTAATTTTGTTTATTTTATACTTCAAAAATTCGTCTCGCTAAGAAAGTTGTCTTCATAAAATTTATTACATATTTGCTTGGGATGTACAGAATTTAAGGTCACGTGATTGTTTTGAAATGTAAACAATGTTTTTGCGCATTAAACTAGCAAAATTTGTTTTTAAACTAGCCAAGTTTGCAAACATATTTCATAACATAGCTAGAGGTACAGCAAACAATTTTTTGATTTTTATATGCAGAAAAAGTTGAAACTTCAATAATTTGGTGCGGATTACAAAAATAATACGATTTTCATTATTTAATAATAAAATTAAAAATATAAATGCATTAAAAAATAGTTAAAAAATAAAAAATAAGCAATCCGCACCAAAAATTAGATAGAATAGACATTTATTTATAAATGTTCCAAATTTCAACCATGAGGCATGTAGCTATGTAATGAAATCTTAGTTGACCCAAGACAGGTTTTCTGTAAAAGCTACAAAAAACAGAAAAGTGATCTCAAATCGCTAGCAATATTTAAACATTAATATTTTTATTCCGTTTAATGTAAATATTTATTTAAAAAAAAAGATAGGTCCTTTTATATTTTTTTTATTTGAAGATGAAAGCGCTTATAGGAAAAAAACACTATTATTTTAAAGTTAGTCCATTTTTAAGCTTTTTTTGCGGAAATACTTTTTTTTTGATAAACACAAAAATAACTGTGACGTCAAGCTGGCTTTTATATTGAGTGAAACAGACATGATTACGACATGGATACAACAATGAGAAGAGTAAAAGCACATTTTTAACTCAAAGCAACAAAGTAAAAGCCCAGTTTGGCTAACTGAAATCTTGGAAAACTTAACAATGTATGTGGGATAACATTGCAAACAAAATATTGTGGTAGGATGTAGCAAACAATCGCACAGGCTGAAGGGAACTATCAAGTTTGTTATAAGCTTATTTCTAAATGTGGTTCAATATAAAATGTTATCCATCATGCACCAAAGGTGCTAGACATTTATAGCTAACCATTAATTTATTCAGGTATGCCAGAAAAGACATCAAAACTATCATTTATCAATTATCCAGTGATACAAATGTTTTTTCATAAAAACCTTTTTTTATAATAAAATGTTAACACAATTGTATGCAAATAATTATCTCATGAAAAATGTCGCTTGTAAATAGTATATTAAAGTGATAATATTAGTTTTAATTATGTTTATACTCAAAAATCGTGGAAAAGGGTCTGTCAAATCAGTCTTTATTAGACCTGTGTTATAGCAGTTGTTAACAAAATTATTAGATTATCGAGCAGAAAAGAATTTGTAGTTTTTCTTGTTGTTTTGGTTATAACTCGAATGAGATTCCAAGAAAGTATCAAAAAATTTTTTTTTCAATTTTCCAGCAGGTTATCAATATAAAGCATTTACATTGTTTTAAAGTTATTTGTTTATTTTTTCATAAGTTATGTAACTTTAAACAATGCAATGTTAATGTTAAAGAAGTTTTACGGTTTTACTTTTACTGGTAAATTGCATTGCGGTTACATTTTCTTAATTTTGATTTAGAGCATTTATTTGCTGTTTTATAAAGATTTATTCATTAAATATAGTTAGAATTTTTATTAAAAACCTTAGTGGCCAAAGCAGTTAGCTCCAATCGTTTCCGAAGTTAATTGCTGTGGTTCAAACCCTTAGTCTTCCATTTTTTTTTTTAATAATCTTTTTTGATTTTTTAAATAGAAAATAAAATATTTTTTAGATATTTATAAGTTATAGATACTTTTACTTATATTTAAAAATTGCATTGCAACAATATCTCCTTGATTTTGTTTTATAGAAATTTTTTGCGCATGTGTCACAATAAAGATAATTATGTTATTAATGTGCTTAAGTAATTACTCAAGTTTGCATGTTTAACACACATTTTAGAGATAACTCTTTTTTTTATAGGAAAAAAGATTTCACATTTAAACTTTTTTTTCTTCTTCAAAATTAACAAACAGAGAATCTGGTCTGGAAAATAATTTAATAAAAACTTAATATATAAAAAAAGTCCATACTCATTATTTTATAGAATTATACAATTTTACAATAAAAAGTTAATTCAAAAGATTCTAAAGATTCTTATTTTCGACTACTTTTTTTTTTTTTTATTTTACTTTTTATTATACCGCATATATTTTTACTTACTAAAAATTATTGAAATGAAATGACCATATAAAGAATAAGTATAGAAATGCTTGGTGTAGAATAGACTTACCATGACCTGTATAATTTTGGGTCAAGGTAAGTTTATTATTCCAAATATTTTCAAGTCTAACTCCAAATGTTTTTGAAAATTTATATACTAATTATAATAAATTTTATTGAGTCTATTCTAACTACACCAACTATTTATACCTTTTAAAGTTATATTCATAACTTTCAAAGGTATAAATAGTTGGTGTAGTTAGAATAGACTCAATATTTCTTTCTTAGCTATAAAGAATTGATGTTCTTTCTTTAATTTTTTAAATTAGCAGTTTTAATAAATGAACATTTGTTTGTTGTTAGTTTGTTTAGATTCTTAAGAACAAAATAACTAGCTAAGCATGTTTTATTCTTTAAAGCAAAAAGAATGAGCTGAAGTGCTTTTTAGTCACTTCAAATCACTTTATGGTTATTTTTTATTATTAGTCAAACTGATTCTGATTTGTGTATTCAGATTTATTTTAAGCTGGATTTTTATTTATATTTAACATGAAAAACTAAATAAAATAAGACTTTCTTGACAAGTTTGTTTTTCTTGACAAGTTTTATGAACTCTGTATTCAGATATATCAGAGTATTAACAGTACCATGGTTGCACATGGGTGGTAACAATGTTAACACTTTTGGTGTGCATTGCTGAAGCCACATAAGGAACTACGTTACAACTTTAGATTAATTAACCAGACTGAGATAACTCTGCAGTTTATTGCTTGGGATAATTTGTTCTATATAAAAATGATTCAAGTTCTCTTTAAACTTTAATTATTCCTAAAGTAATTCAAAAACTTAAAAATAAAAAACCACCCCCACCTTCTAATTGTTTCAACATATTTTTCACAAATATTTGTGGTCTGTGAAGTAACCTTCCATCATTTGAATCTTACCTCTTGCAAAATTCACCAGGCTCGCTTGCTTTTTGTGAGACTTATTTAAATTAGGCTGTACCTTCTTCCCCTCTAATTATTGTCCAATCAGTATTCTATCTGTTATTAGCAAGGTCTTGAATCTTTGAATCAACAAACTTCTCACATCCCATCTTGAGTCAAATAATTTACTGTTAGACAATCAATATGGTTTTCGATCCTCTCCCTCGACGGTTAATTTGCTAACTGCTGTGACTGAAAATTTTTATCATGCAGTAGATGGAGGTAGCAAGGCTAGGGCTGTTGCTTTTGATCTAAATGCTGGTCTTAACATAAGTTTGCTTCATATTGTATATCTGGGAAAGTTTTTGAGATGATTAAATTATTTCTTTTTAATCACATTATTAAAGTCATCAACACTTCATTTCCAATAACTTATGGGTTACCTCAAGGTTCTATCCTTGGTCGTGTTTTGTTTTTATCTACATTAATGATTTTCCTGACAACCTTAAATCTAAAACAGCTCTACCTTCTGTGATGACTCAACTTTGTACTCCTGTCTTGACAACAAGTTTTCTCTTTTTGATCATTTAGATCAAGCAGATAATCTTAAATCTCACTTCTTTAACAAACTGGGGCTTGCAGCAGCTTGCAAATTTAACTTTAACAAAACTCAGTTAACTCAATACTAGCAACTGGTCTCTTGCATCAAAGAGACTTTGATGGATGATGTCATATAGTGATTTTAATTCATTTGATTTTAATGTTTTTATTAACAACTATTGTATTTCATTTTAACAAGCATAATGCTTTTATTAAAATTTTTACAATGCTTTCTTTTTTTAAATGGAAATTTTTTATACATTTATGCATTTTAAGACGTTCCTGTAATTAATTTTTTAAAAATCAAAAAATTATTACTACAGTTAAAAGTTATGTAAACTACCCAAAAAATGCGAAATTATAAAATTCATACTGCTGAATACTTTTTAATACACCACAAACACTTTTAGTGTTTATGCCAGGGCCTGAAATAACCAACTTTTTTCTACCGGACAAATATTTGTTTGGTAAAGAATTAAGTTTGCCGGACATGTCCGATGAAAATTAAAAAAGTGCAATCGAATGCCATTCCTGAACACACCTAAATTATTTTGTTTTTACAACTTTAGGCGTTTCAAAATGCGTTGAAAATAAAAATAAAATTTGTAAGATAAATTATCTATCAAAAAGAAAATCTTAAAGATATAGAAAAATCTAAGCTCAAAAAACTAAAAATTTAAAAAGGAAAATATATTAACAATAAAATAAAAATTTATATTATGCAAAATATTTTGTAAATTATTAAATACATAAATTTATTTAATACATAAATTATGTAATTATTAAATACATAATTAAATATGTAATAAGAATGTACAATAAATACAAAATTATTAAATACACCAATTACTATGTAAATATATATAAAATATTTAAATTATCAAGCAACTACTTTATTAAATATTACTTATTACTTTATTAAATAAAGTTACAAATTAATTCTAATGTTTACAATAAACACATTTTATTTAAATTATCAAAGTATAGTTTAGGTATTCACATTAATATAAATATGTATTTTTTTTATAAGTCTTTTTAAACTTTTTCCAGATTAATTTTATTAACACTTTTAATAGCCAAAACTTTTAGTGCAAAAACAAAGGTTATGTAACAACTCAAATTTAATAGTGTAATAAAAAGTACTGGTTTCTATAAGCATTAAAATAGCTATGACATTAAAATTTTTATAAAACAAATTTAAAAAGGATTTTGAAAGCTCAAATAATTGTTTGAAATTTATAAAAACCATCAGACAAAAAAAATAAAAATACTCAACTATAAATTTAAATTAATAACTAATTGCAACGTTATAACATGAATCATAAAAACCGGGCTACTTAATTCAAAAAAATGTAATGCTTTGGCGTCTTTTAAAAAATGAAATAAGTCAAAAAAAATGACGTATTGTAATTAACGCAGCCTTGTGTTCAATTTTGTTTTGTATAAAAACTTTAATTTTGTTTCGTACAAAAATATAAAAGTTCAAAAAATAAAACAAAATAAGACAAAATGACCGATAGATGTGGTTTTTTATCGGACAAGTGCCGGACAATGTCCGATGTCCGGCGCTTATTTCAGGCCTTGGTTTATGCTATTGAAAGTTGAGCATTATGTCTGAAATAACCCACGCAAAAGCTTCAGTTCTTTCTGGTAGTGTTATATTCACCAATTAACAAATGATTATTTCATTTTTGCATGCATATCAAAAGAGGAAATTAATAAAGAATAAATCATTCAGATGGACTTGTTTTTTACTCTTTATTACTGATATAAACTTTTTAATATCAGTAATAATGATTATTAGTACTTGTTATTATAATAACATTATGATGATAGTTTGATTGATTTCATATTATTTTTCACTAATTGTTATGAGAAAAAAAAAACATTCTTGATTTAACATTATGTCCAAAAAAAAGAAATAATTTAAAACAATCTTATTCTTTTCTTGCTGATTGTAAAAAGATTTTAAACTATATAATATAAAATATTATCATAACTGCTTGTAAAATCATCATAACTGCTTGTAAAATCAACATAACTGCTTGTAAAATCATCATAACTGCTTGTAAAATAAGCATAACTGCTTATAAAATTAAAAGAATTATGATAATCAAAAAACGTAACTTGTGCTACATATTATACGTACTTGTGCAAAACAGATAGATGACCCAATAATAAAAACTACATCATGAACAACATCAAGTACTCGCAGGCGATATTCTTGGAAATCGTCACCTTTTTCTGGTATTCCATCCTTAAAATGATTTGTTAATTCAAATTAAAAACAATGATGCAAAATCTAGCTTTTTCTATTTTGTAAAAAAAAAAAATTTAATTAAAATTAATGTTATTAGTAAGTAAATAAATAATAACATGATAAAATAAATATAAATTAAAAATATATAATAAATATAAATCTGTAAATATGAATCTTGTAGTCATTAGTCATAGATTAGTAACCTAATCAATTTCTTAACATTACAATAACATAGATTATCCTAGTCACATTTTAAAAATCCGGAAAATTGTTTGAATAAAATATCCTGAAAAATTCGAAATTTGTTTTCCCTTATTTTCTTTTTAATTTTGCTTTTAGCTAAAAAAAATTTTGACACTTTCCATAATTTTTCTATGAGTGATGATTGAAAAAGTTAAAACAACAAATATATTACAAAAATATACATCTCAACTTGCATGTATTAAATAATCAGAAAAACTAAAAGTTGAAAAAAATATCTAGAATTCCGGAAATATCCGGAAAAAGATTTAACAAAAACATAAATACCATTTTTTTTTACCAAGTTAACATTTTTTTATTATATATTAAGTAACAGTTACATATACAGTATATTCTTAAAACATATGATCTATAAGAATTCTTTAAAAAACTTTTAATTTCTATAAAAATTTCAATAAGTTGATTTTACTTGTAGTGAAAGCTAAAATTCTTAAAGTCAATCCTTTTTACAATTTTGAAGCAAGATTCTATTCTTATTTTATTTTTTAAATTGCTTACTATTTTTATTATTACGTTATATATATTCTTACATATCACATAAATAAGAAATTGACTTATAAGTTTAATTTTAATTATCTCAATTAAAATTTAATAATCTCAAATTGATTAAACTTAATAATCTCAACTTACTGTAAGTTTAATTTTAATTAACCTCAAGTTACGTCAGAGGTTTGGTCATCATGATCAACTTTCTGGCAACAAGTAATTAAGTGCAGCCTGTTCCATGTCCTGCTGTCTTGTAGGACTTGCTTTCTAAGCAAATCGAAGTTTATCAAACTTTGCTTTCTAAGCTACTGAAGTTTATCAAACTACTATTAACTATTTGCTTAATGAAAATATTCGTCGGTGGTTAATTTTTTAATCACCTTTATTTTTGTTCTTGATCACTCTTTTTCTTCTCAAGATTTTTTAGATGTATTTTCTGATTAAATCGACAAATAGTGTTAGAGCCAACCCATTCAGTGTGATGAGATTAAAGGTAACTCTCATTAAAGATAATGCTCATCACACTAAATGACTTGGCTCTAATGCTCATCACACTAAATGACTTGGCTCTACCACTGACTCTGCTGGCATTGAAACCACTCAACCACAGACTCTGCTGGCATTGAAACTCATAGTTTTTGTATTTCTCAATCTCTTACTCAGATATCCAACTTCATGTTTTCTAGACAACCCTAGTCACTTATGGTCACTCCTTGATTTGTGTCTTGTTTCTGACCACAGTTTGTTTAGTTCCTCCTCATTCTCATTAAAATGATTCCGATCATGTAACGATTTCTAAAAATCTTTTATCTCATACTTCTTTTTCAAACTCATTGCTACACTACTTACTACTACACTAAAGCTGGCTGGGATTTTCTTCACAATTTTCTTTGTGATGGTCCTTGGGCTGATGTCTTTTTTCTCTCCACTGATAAATGTATCTCTTAAATAACCTCCTGGATCGAGCCAGTTATGGAAACTTTAACTTCTTCTCAGCAATTCAAACTCAAGCCTTATTTTAATTCATGGTTTTCACCTTCTTGTGCAGATGCTACATTTTTTTTAAATAAAAACTCAAAAACAAATGCCTATTTACAATTGCAAGAAATCTATGTAAAAAGGCGCCATCTGATGCTAAGCTCCATTATTCTCAGTTTACAAAATCCTGTATTTTATCTCAGAAAAAGGCTCTAGAGACTTTAAGACTTTAACGGTGTCATGAACAAAGGTAAGTAATTTTATCACTGATTTATGGGATTAATCTTATTACCTCACTGATTCCTGGGATTAATCTTATTACCTCACTGATTCATGGGATTAATCTTATTACCTCACTGATTCATGGGATTAATCTTATTACCTTACTGATTCATGGGATTAATCTTATTACCTTACTGATTCATGGGATTAATCTTATTACCTCACTGAAAGATAAAGCAGAATTATTTACAAAAAACATTTCCTTTAATGTAACTCATGAAACTTATGGCCACAATATTCCTGCCATTCCAGTTAACCCATTGTTAGATATCAAATCACTTCAGCGTCCTTGCTAAAGTCAAATCTCAATTAAACTCTTTTAAAACTTGTGGTCCAGAAAACAGGAATGTTTTCTGGACCACAAGTTGAGACTTTTCTGCATCATAGTAGGGTGTGTCGATTTTAGATTTTATTTAAGAAAAAAATTGGGGAGTTACTAAAAGTTGCAGAATCCTATGGAGAATTCAAATATGGCTTTAAAATTTGAATTAAAAATATTTTGCTTAGGTGATTTATATTTCAATAAAAGTTTGAACTCCTTTCTCAAAAAAACATGGTTTTTATTTAAACATTAATAAGCTTTTTTTTTACTTTATTTAATAATTATCAGTTAGGATATAAATTTTGATTAAAACTAATTTTGATAAGAATATATTTTCCTTAAAGGGATCACCAACTGCCGAGACAAGTTGTGTTCATATTAAAAAAAATGTTTAAAAAAAACATTAGGGCTAAATTTTTTTGATTAAAACTTTATAATGAATGCACACCATTAAATTTAAAATTCACGTTTTAGTTGAAGCTTGCTGTCTCAATTTTTTTTTGTTCTTGGAGTCTGTATAATGTTAACCGCAATCTATAGACTTGATAATTTATTCAAGGCGTGTTAATTCATAACAGTTTCGGTATATGATATCATCGTATAAATTTTTACTTTTAAGATGTCGTATTATTTTTTTTGCCAAAATCATCAAATCATGTTAATTGTATAACTTTTTACAAAATCCAAAAAAAGTTTATGATGCAATTAAAAATTAAATTTATAAAAATAAAAATTTAATATATAACGTATATTTACAGTAAAACGTACTGGTTTAAACTAAATATAAACTAGATACTTAAAGAATAATTTTACTAAAGCGTATAAGTTAATTTAAAGTATAAACTGAAAAAAAAAAACGAGTGACTTGAATAAAACATCACGGCTGTTTCACTGTAAAAGTGAGCGTGACGTCATGAGTTTATCAAAAAAGAAAGTATTTCCGCATAAAAAAATATAAAAATTCACTAACTTTAAAATAAAAGTATTTTTTTTCTATAAATGCTTTTATCTTCAAATAAAAAAAACATAAAAGATCTATCTTTTTTTATTTAATAAATATTTACATTAAACGAGCTATAATAAAATATTGTTAAGATATTGCTAATGATTTGGGATCACTTTTCTGTTTTTTGTGATTTTTACGGAAAACCTGTCTTGGGTCAACTAAGATTTCCTAACATAGCTACATGCTTAATGGTTGAAATTTGGAACATATATAAATAAATGTCTATTCTATCTAATTTTTGGTGCAGATTGCTTATTTATTTTTTTTTAATTATTTTTAAATGCATTTATATTTTTATTTTTATTATTAAATAATGAAAATCGCATTATTTTTGTAATCCGCACCAAATTATTGAAATTTCAACCCTTTCTGCATATGAAAATCAAAAAATTGTTTTCTGTACCTCCAGCTATGTTAAGACATGTTTTCAAACTTGGCTAGTTTAGAAACAAATTTTTCTAATTTTTTTCGCAAAATATTGTTTACATTTTAAAACAATCAAGTGGCCTTAAATACTGTACGTCCCAACCCAATATGTAATGAATTTTATGAAAACAATTTTCTTAGCGAGACAAATTTTGATGTATAAAATAAACAAAGTTTGGCAAATTTTCTTTCTCGTGAGTAATCAACAAACATCAGATAAGTTTTTTAATCTTATTATATCTTGTTCATCTATTTGTCAATAAATATTATTTTGTTTGCATTGTTTGTGTTATATTTTTATTACAAGATTTATTTATCATTATGTATTCTACTGAAAGGAAACTAGTAATAGAATGGATTGAATGGGACGATAGTTGGGAAAATGAGTGTAACTTTCTATTTGTCAAGCGATTAATTAGCATCGATAAAATGACTAACAATGTAATTTTAATTTTAATGTCAGTTTTTAAGTCAAAAGCATTGTTTAGTTTAATGAGCTTTATATTGCCAATTGATTTTAATTTGCCTAGTTTTGATGAGTTCGATAATATGTGCCAAAATTTAATACGCAAAAAAAAACTTTTTAAAAACAATTATAAAGCTTCAAAAAACGAAGCCTTTTTTAAAATGCAACTGTCTCCTGCTCTACAAATGAAAAAAAAAAAAAAAAAAATCAGCAGATGCAGATGAATTTTCATTTCTAAATAGGAATAAGGAACTAAGTAGCCAAGTTGACCAATTAACTTCTGAAAATATAGCAAATGTAGAGCAAACAGAGAAATTAAAACTGAAGTTATTAAAGTTGGAAGCTGAAATTTGTAATTTAAATTCTAAAAATGAGGCTCTTAGTACACATTGTAACTCATTATGTTCTCAAGTAGAGGCTATGAGTATTAGGCTAAAACAGGAAGAGAAGTTCTAACTTATTTAAAAAAAAAAAATCAAAACAGCACAGCATAAATTTGCATCTGCTTGTGCCAAAAATGTAAGATTGCTAAAAAAAAATTAAATTTGAAAAAAACAATGCAAAAATCAGTGATTTAAACCGGAATTGTTGTCAAATTTGCAAATGTCTTCTAAGCGGTGATAAGAATTTAGTTGTTGTTGATTCTTATTTAGACTATGACAACATTGGTTCCTCTGAATTGTTCTGTGGATTTAAATTAAGTAATCCACAGACTATATCAGTTAAAAGGCCAATAGTTGGTAAAAAATATACTTACATTAAGTTAGGAC